CATGTTTTGAAGATCTGATCCTGCCAATCAGGTACCGGAACTGCTTCCCTTCTCCTTGCTTGGTCTAAGCAGTAGCCTTTGCGTATGTAACTGTAGCATGGCCACTTGTTCAGTTTGAGCAATTCTCCGTCTCTCCATTCAAGCTTTAACCCTTTGCAGCCCTGGCCAACAACATATACGGTTGTAAACACCCATGGTAGCAGTCAAATAAGTATTGCATCAATACTCCACTGTGTAGTCTGACCTGTGGTAGAGATATCAGATAAGTATATGTGGTCAGTCTTCATTGTCAGGGCAGCAACATACTTGCACTCAGTCCTCTTTCCCTCATTCATTTGCAGATCCCATTGTCTACGCTTTCTGTTCTAACTCAGTCGATCAGCTCTGAAATACCCCTTTGGGATTTTATCTGACTAATGTTTAATGTATTCATCTGAATTTCCTTTCCCTGTTTTCTCACTGATTCAATGTATTCATAATAGTAGCGGAAAGTGAAATTTCAGATCAAGCATGGAATGTTTGTTCACTATTGTCACATGGGTTAATTTCGTGGTCTTATCCAACTTATTGAGTTTCTACATTACAATACTAAATAATTTTGGTGCACATCCTATAATTTGGAAACATTTGTAATCACAATGTGATTTTTACCACAGATTGGAGAACAAAATATTGATTTTAATTTTGTGCATTCCCCAAACACAAACAGTGTAACAACTGCACTAGGCATGTCCTTCAGAGTGGTCCATAAACTGCAAATTTCTAAAACTCATTCATATTCCTTTTAGTTTTCAAGTGTTACATGTTTCAAAATAAAACCGCAGCAAAGCTTCAGTCTTAAACAAGATAAAATTAGTTGAGTGTAAAACTACACCTGTGGTTACACTAGTAAAAGTGATCAAGTTTTCAGCTTAAAAAAAAAAAGGCATATGCAATGATAAATAGTTGAGAAGGATAAAACATACTTATAAAAATGAAAGCACGATCAATCTGTCAAAATGCTGCAGGCCTATTTCTTGCCTGAAGCTTCTGTTTCCAAAGTGAATTGGTTGAAGACCTAAAACACAATTCAGCAGCTGCCATAGTTTCTGTAGTTGACCTGTCTGCATAAACTCATCAGGATCTTCCAACAGTGAGGGAAGGCCTTTTGTTCCTCACTAGTTCAGTGGTTACAGGACTTGCAGATTGCTGGAATGTTCTAACGAACAGCCCTGATTTCTGTATGCCTTCCTTGTGCTACATATGACAGAACTTTCTGTCTGGTCTCTCTCTCGGTTCTTCGCAAGAGGAATTGCACAAGATGGTTACTCACGGCCTATTTATTATGCAAGAGTTTAAAATATTAAATCAAACCAAGCTACCTAAATATAGAACATAGTTTGAAAGATCTTAAAACACACAGCAAAGCGAAGTTTCACCTATGGTCCAACACCAACACTTTATTGTTTTTCAAATTTAAAGTAATCATCATTCTGTACCAAATCTTTGGGTTTGACTTAACTTCTTACCTCTGAAGTCTTCTTGAATGAGTGTTCACAAAACTGGAATATTAGACTTTCTCAATCTTTTAATAACCTGCCGATTTTTAGGCGAACACTCCTGTCCTGGTTGTTTCACAAGCTGTTTGGTTGGCACGGTGGTTCAGTGGTTAGCAGGGATGCCTCACAGTGTCAGGGACCCAGGTTCGATTCCAGCCTTGGGTGGAGTTTCCACATTCTCCCCATATCTGTGTGGGTTACCTCTGGGTGAGCCAGTTTCTTCCCACAATCCAAAGATATGCAGGTTAGATGGATTGGCCATGCTAAATTACCCATAGTGCCCAGGAGTGTGCAGGCTAGGTGCCTTAGCCATGGTAACTGTGGGATTACAAGGCTGAGGGTGGGGGGGACTGGGTCTGGGTGGAATGCCCTTCGGAGAGTCAGTCCAGACTTCATGGGCCAAATGGCCTTTTTCCGCACTGTAGGGATTTTATGACAAACATTCACACAAAGGTAATTCTGCTTTCACTGAGCTGTTCTATACTTATTTCTCGGAGAGAAACTATATTTATTTCTGAACCCAGCCAGCTCCCCATCAAAACTGCCTTAAAAGCTTGCAGTCTCTGGGTTTTCCAAGCTAAAGTCAATTTTTGCTTATTCTAAACAAAAGGCAAGCTAACATTGTTCAGTGTCTATTCTCCCTGTTGTAAGTCCATGTTATGAACAATCTTCCATTAACATTCCAGGGGTTTGCCTGTTCTCTGACATGAAACGGATTAGGTCATAGTTCTGCAAGGACTCTGTGATCTTGAGGGGATTTTTTTTATGGTGTTTTAAACATTTCTCAAAAGTAATTAGCATCAACGTGCCCAAGTTTAAACCCACACTCTGTAAGTAATACTGATTTACAGATTTAGTTCACACATTTTCATCACATTTGTAACTAAATTTGGATTTTGGATAAAACGTCAGGTTATGTCCTGTTGAACTAATCGATAGTTCTGAAAATCGATAGTGTTAAATTAAAATGTACACTTAGATGCTGGATGAATTTAGAGAATGTAACATTTGATTTGAACCTTTTTGTTCTGCAGCTTGGAGGAGGCTGTGAGTTGGCGATGATGTGCGATATCATATACGCAGGAGAAAAGGCACAGTTTGGGCAACCAGAGATTCTGTTGGGAACCATTCCTGGTAAATGTTCTGCACAATATTATTAGTAGGTAAATGGTAAAGTTTTACTGTTGGTTCACAATTCTGAAATTATCCTCTCCTTTGAAATTGTCTGCTTGTTGCTACCCGTCAGCTTGTTTGTCCAGTCAGAGTGTTATGCAGGGTTTGTTAGGATCATTTCCTAGCTTATAATAGGCCTGGCAGCAATCACGCACCATGTATTGAGGATGTGGATTGTTCACCACTGGGTACCACAAACCTGTGCATCGGTGGAATTTTGGACAAGCGCTTCTGTAATTAACCTTCTGAGGAAGGATCACTCAACCCGAAACATTAACTCTGATTTCTCTTCCTCAGATGCTGCCAGACCTGCTGAACTTCTCTGTTTTTGTTTCTGATTTACAGCATCTGCAGTTCTTCGGTTTTTACTTCTGTAATTAAATTAGTTAACTTTAAAAATTACTAAGTATTTGCTGTAGAGCTGTTGGAAGTGATTTGTTTGCATGTTTGTATTACTTTAGAAAATTAGCATTTTGCTGTTAAAGCCAGATATTTTCCATTGCTGTCCTACCTGCTGCGTGGGTATTATCATGTTCTGAAATCAGAGAAACCAGCTAATACTATTTATGGAGAGCATTGACTTTGTTGCTATGTTGTTCACAACTAATATTCCAAATCTTATCCAATTAGTCCCCTTTCCCTCCCCTTTCCCTACAGTCCAACTATAGTTCTATAAATATTTCCATTTCAGGTATTTATCCAATTCTCTTTTGAAAGTTACAATTGAATCTCTTCTAGGGAGTGCACTCTGCAGGTTATTCGGGTGTAGATTAGCAGAGAATGTTACAAAACTAATTGTCTGGTGTGAGATCGATTTGTGTCATCTGTAAATCTAGTTTCAACCTTTTGGTATTTCCCATATGCCAAGTATATTTTCAAAAACCTTTTAGAAAGCACATATTACGGCTGAGAAAAGACATGCTAGTCCTCTTGAACTTCTCCGGACAGAATCACAAGAATAACAAATCTCAAAGGGAACAACAATTTATGCTGCATGAGAAGAGGGGTGCTGTGTTGGTTGGCACATGGACTCTGGTAGAGACTTCCTGTGGAGAATTTATCAGGGAACAGGCTAATCAGTCATCCTGCTTGGTTTGAATTTAAACAAAAGCTTGGTAGATAACTGTTCTCTGGTGACTAAAACAAGACATTTTGATGGCATGTCTCTCTTTATTAGCAATATTTAAGTTCTGAACTACCAAGGAATGAAGTGTAAAGTTTGCTCGCAGTGGAACCTTAGCTCTCTATGCATACAAGATAAAATGTTGTAATTTCATCTCCCAAGGGAAAGGTCCAACTCAAAGAGGTTGCACTGGGAACGTTATTCAATCCAAGCTTCCCTTAAGCATAGCTCCAACCTTTAGTGCAGGACCTCTCAATTTATTACTCTTAGCATTGCACATTTAAAGTGTTGCACTGATCAGGATAAATATCTGAAAAGCAAATAACTAAGCACCTAGTTCACCATTTCTGAGTATCTCAAAATTATTCCCAAGTTTGCCTTGCCTCCTCTCCACAGAAACATAGAAAAGATACAGAACGAGGCCTTTTGGCACATTGTGCCCATGCTAACCCAAAGACACCCAGATGCCCTTTCTAATTCCATATTCCCACTTACAGCCCAAAGTCCTATAAGTAACAGCACTTAAGGTGCAAATCCAGGTACTTTTAAAAAGAGTTTAGGATCTCTGCCTCCATCACCAACTCAGGCAGTGAATTCCAAACACCCACGATCGAATCCTTATGCCTCTCATCTTGAACCTGTGACCCCTGGTTTTCGAATTCTCTGCCAAGGGAAGCAGGTTCCTCCTGTTTACTCTATGTCTACCCCTCACAATTTTGTATCCCACAATCATGTCACCCCTCAGCCTAGTGTGTTCCAAGGAAAACTTTCATCTTTACCATTTCATGCATTGCACAATCTGAAATTGCACCACCTTCAGCTCAATGAAATCAGCTCCAGTGAAGGCTCCCAAAAACTATTTATCTATTGCAACCATAACTGGTATTTTAATACCACTATGAGGTAGTTTGAAAGCAACATGATTTTAAATGGCCCCGTTTCACAATATACTGTTGAATTGGGAAGGGGCATGAGGAAAATGCTGCGGAGTTACATTGCTTACTTTAGTAGCTGACCTATATTGGCTTCCAGTTCGGGGAGGTCTCAATTTTAAGATGCTCAATCATTTTAAGTCCCACCATGACATTCCTACCTCTATTATCTCCTCCAGTCCCACAACTGTCTGAGATATCGACGCTCCTTTAATTCTAGCTTTATGCCTATCCCCAGTCTTCATTGATCCACTGTTCACCTTCAGCTGTCTGGGTCCCAAGCTCCGCAACTCCTCCCTCCATCCCCTTCCCCTTTAACACCATCTTGCTCTTTGGTCATGTGTCCCATTATCCCCTCATGTCACGCAGTGTCAAGCTTTGATTTATAACGCTCATGAACTTGCCTAGAATCTTTCATCATGCTAAAGATGCTGTATAGTTATAAGTTAAACTGGAACTGGGGGCATGTTGGTAAAACTGCAGTGTCTCTTCTCCCTGGCAGGTGCTGGTGGAACACAGCGGTTGACTAAAGCAGTTGGGAAGTCACTGGCAATGGAAATGGTCCTCACTGGAGACAGGATTTCTGCTCAGGAAGCCAAAGCATCAGGTTATTGGATTGTTTCAATTTTGTCCTTCTACATTCTAGGTCAGCATCAGGGCATTTGGAGAAGCAATTATATGTCAACTTGGTTGGATTAGGAACAGTCATTCCTCATTTATTCGTGAGTCCCACTCCACTATATAACTCAAGTCCATGATCTAGCTTGTCACCTTCAGAACTGAGGGAGATGTTAAAAGTGAGGCCTGTTATGTGCTTGGGTGGATATAAACCAGCACAGTATCATAGGGTCATTGAGACGTATAGCGCGGAAAAGACCCTTCAGTCCAACTTGTCCATGCCAACCAGATATCCTAAATTAAACGTCCCCTTTGCCAACAATTGGCCCATATCCCTATAAACTTTTCCTATTCATGTACCCAATCAGGTAGCTTTCAAATGTTGAAATTGTACCAGCCTCCAGCACCACTTCCTCTGGCAGCTCATTCCATACACGCACCACCCTCTGCGTGAAAAAGTTGCCTCTCGGGTCCCTTTTATTATCTTTCCCCTCTCACCTTAAACCTATGCCCCTCTAATTTTGGACTCCCCTACCCCAGGGAAAAGACCATGGCTATTCACCTTATCCCTGATTTTACGAACTTTTATAAGGTCACCCCTCAGCGTCTGACGCTCCAGGGAAAATAGCCCTGGGCCAACTTCATTCCCCAGCTAGCACCAGTGGAATCTGATAATCTGCTTTTTCTGTTAGTGACTGTGGGATTTGCTGTGTGCGAGTAGGCTGCCAGGTTTGCCTGTACAAGGGGTTTGCACTTCAGAAGAGTCACGAAGATGTTGAGGGGATGGGGAAAGGCCTCGGTGAAAGCTCCTTCTTGTGTAGAAGCCAGCACACAGAAATGGAGAGATATCATGCAATAAAAAGAGTGTAGTTGATCCTGTCCAAATTCAGGAATATTTTTGATTCAAGGTATGGCTGCAGTTCTGCTTTTTCGTAAAGATTTTGAACATACAGAAAAATCAGACCTTCCAGAATCCCTATTTTGTTTCAAGCTTTCTGAATGTTTTCATCATAAATATTGAAATTGATTTGATTGATTGTCACATGTATTCATTGCAAGTACAGTGAAAAGTGTGGTTTAGCACTTTTCATGGTTTTTGTAATACACAAGACAATAAATCAAGAACATAGCACAGTACAGGCCCTTCGGCCACGTTGTTGTGCTGACCTATTCTGCTAAGATCAAACTACCCTGCGTACCCTACATTTTACTATCATCTATGTGTCCATCCAAGAGTCGCTTAAAAGTCTGTAAAGTATCTGACTCAAATAAATCAAATCAAATTGATTTCAGTATTTATGCTGAAAACATATTGGAGCTGCGGGGCGGTATTCTCTAATGCAGTGGAGTTTGGGCTTTTGGAACAAGTAGTCTAGACTGAAAGGAGTGAAATTAGTGCAAGTTACAAGGACTTGTAATTAACCCAGAAGAAATAATAGATGCAGTTGATACTGTCATTTTATGACACTCAATATGCAGCTTTTAAGCTGATAGGTGTATTTTCCAGTTCCCAAAACTAAATTCCAACAGGTTTGCCTGGATAATAATACAGGACTGATGCTTTCTGTTTTCAAAAGGGCTTGTTAGTAAAGTATATCCAGTAGCTCATGTGGTGGAAGAAGCCATCAAATGTGGAGAGAAAATAGCGAGCAACTCTAAGCTTATTACAGCAATGGCGAAGGAAGCAGTCAATGGTGGTAAGCAGATTAACTCTTTAACCTCAGTATTGGTCCTCTTGCAGCTATCTGCCTAATAATGAGGTTTAAGATTTGTTTTACCAGACGTTAGCCAATTCATAATGTAGATACGTTAATTCCTGCTTAATGAATTAATGTTTACGTATAATTTGCGGGATTTGTTTAATATTGATATTTATTGCCTGTGTTTTAGAAAAGTGTAATTAGAAATCCAGTCTATTTATTTATTTCACAAAATGATTGATATTCTAGTTCTGGAATTGATAAGAGTTACACTGCTTGTTTTGCTGGTGAAAATACACTTTGGCTTCCCTTTCAGATTATTTCAAAATTCTAATTTTTAACTTAAAGTTCGCTTTCAAAAAAGCAAAATGATTTTTATTTCAGTTTATTCCCATTATTGTTTCTAAATAATGTTGACTTTTCAGTTGCATTTCTTTGCCCCTCTAGTAAACTGCACATCAATACCTCACTTGTGTTGAACTGGTGAGCATTTTAAGTTGAATGGATGAATTAGATTCCCCGTGAGGTGAGTTTGGAGATAGATTCACTTCACTCACTTTATTCCCTGGATTTAACACTGGTGTTGCAAGACCTGTAGGAGGAAAAGTGGACCATTCATCCATTGACATGCTTTGCCATTCTGGATCATGGCTAGTCATCTGTCTCAACACCATATTCCTGCAGTATCCTCCTATCCCTTGATGTCATTTGTAACTAGAAATTTATTGATTTCTGTCCTGAACATATTCTGTGGTTAAGGATTCCAAAGATTCACCAGCCTCTGAGTGAAGAGAAACCTCTTCATTTCAGTCCTAAATGGCATGTCTTTTATTCTGAGACTGTCCCCCAACATTCTAGACCCCACAGCCAGAGGAACATCCTTTCAGCTTCCACTCTGTGTCTCTTGAAGGGTTCTGTATGTTTCAGTGAGATTGCCTCTCACACTTCTAAACTACAAAGAATATAGGCCCAGTCATCTCCATCTCTCCATATAGGACTGTTCACCATCTCAGGGATCAATCTGGTGCATTCCCTGTGTGGCAAGTATATACTCTGAGGCAAGGCAACCAGAACAGCACATAATACTCCAGGTGTGGGTTCACCAGTGTTCTGTAGAATTGAAGCAAGGCTTCTTTGCTCCCATACTGAAATCCTCCTGTAACAAAGGATAACACACCATTTTGATGTGGAACTTGAGCTTTGGATGAGTTGTTTCATTCTGTCCATTTTGTGTTGAATGTTATGAAGGATAAATATGACTAAATTGGAGACTGTGAACAAAAAGACCCCATTATAAACCCAATAGAAGATGGTGGAGTTTAACGATTTTAATGTAAAATTGAGTCTATTGTAATATTGGGTCTGTTGATATTCCAGTGCTTTCCTTAATGAACTTCTCTCTTAGTGAATGACTGTTCGTGTATAGTTTTTCAGGGTTTACTTAATATTGAGATTTGTTGCAAACGTTTAAAAACATATATGTTGCCATCATCAGCAATCACTCATTAATAAGTAGGAATGGCCACCTAGAAAGTTCCATGTCACTGATCATGGGTTCTGTGGGTCCTTGCATATTGCAGCTGAGCCCACTCCTAGAGCTGTATTTACAACAACCCATTTCCATAAATATGTATGCTTGGAGATGGAATATATTTAGTTAATTTGTTGTTAGCAAATTAAAATTGCCATTTGCAACACCGACCGCCCTTAAAATAACCCAGTGTTTAAAGAAAACAAAAAATGCTGGCAGTAGGTCAGGCAGCATCCATGGAGAGAGAGCAAGCTAACGTTTTGAGTTTAGATGACTCCTCATCAGAGCGCCAGTTAGACTTGAAACATTAGCTTGCCCTCTCTCCATGGATGCTGCCTGACCTGCTGTGACATACAGCATTTTTTGTTTGTAGTACAAATGACAGCATCTGCAGTCATTAGTTCCTACCAGTGTTTAATGACCTTGATCCACTGTGGTTGCTTAACAGTTCTGTACTGTATTTCAGCTTTTGAATTGACATTGGCAGAAGGAAACAGATTGGAGAAGCGTTTGTTCCACTCTACGTTTTCCACTGTGAGTATCCTGTGTTCAATTAAAACAAATTGTACCTTCATTTATCAAGACTTATCACTTATTCGATGTCAATTCTTTGTTTCAGAATGACCGGAAAGAAGGCATGAGTGCATTTGTTGAGAAGCGGAAGGCTAATTTCACTGACCAATGATTGTATTCAAAAGTTCTGAATTGCAATGGGAACTGAATTACTAATGTCAGTTGGATCAGCCGAAAGTTGATAGAAAGTTGGTGAAGTTTTGAAAATGGCGCACAAGATTACAATAACAAATTCTGATTCCAAATAGATATTTTATTTTAATGCTTCTGTATTTTATTTTTGTCAGGGTAATTGTGAATGAAATATGAACAATGTTTTTACTCATTAATAATATCTTTGAATCATTAGCCATTCTGTTACTACTTCCACTTTCCACAAATAATTTCAGCTGATTTCCATTGGTCAAGTAATTCTAATTTAGCTCATATTAAATATTTTGTCATGTAAAAAGTAGGTGTGTCAATGTTTAGGGTATGTGAAATGGCATCTGTTACTTCAACAGTACAGCAACAGACTGTAGCAAGTGGATGGTTAACAGCCTCAGGTCAACTCTTTGAATTAACTTGCATTGCATTGAACTGTACCTGTACAATTATACAGTGGGATTCTTACTATTTGATTGGTCTTAACTTGTGGAGAGCAGGATTCTTTGTACAGGGACATTTTTTTTGGTTCTTGATTAACCAGCAATAAAAGATTAAAATAAAGGCAATTTGCTCTTTGAGACTACCAAGAAGTTTGAATGTGACAACTTGTTTTTTTAGAGGACTAAAGATGGATCAAAAATTAGAAGAATATGGGAAGAGGTTTTGCTGGCAGAGTTTCAGAATAAAGGATCATGAAAGAATTGTGAACTTGAGAGAGAACAGAGGAGTTTGCTTCAACATTCCCATTCGTAGTTCCATGAATCCTAATTCTAATAATATCAATAATACACTGCCATAGTATTCTGTACCCATATTGCAATCACTTCCTTTGAAGGCCATTTTATGATTTATTTTCACTACACTTAGCCAGAATCTTCCATTTATCTTTTATTTAAAGAGAAGCAAAGTGAAAACACATTTCGCCTTATTTAAGGTTACTGACTATACATGTGTATTTTTCAGTCCAGCTATTTACGGGTTAAAAGATGAAAGAAATTATTATCCATTCCTACGTAGCATGTTGAAGACTTGCTTAATACAGATGTACACTGTTGCTCTTTAAGAACGATGAGCGCTCACTTTGGTTAATGTTAACACAGTGTGGTGTTCTGGTCCAACATGGTCTTTTCAGTGCCTGCGAAAATAGCTACTTGGTCAAGGCTGCTGAAAGCCTTGGAAGTCCTGTGAAACGTTTGCTCAGTATCGGTATCCATTAGGAGAAGAACCGATACAGTTGAGGCATTGAGAAAATATTGACAATTCCTGGAAGATGTGCTGGCATTTTTTTTCAGTGTTGGTGGAGGAGAGAAACGAGGAACAGTTTGAATCTCAGCAGTTCAGTCAAAGGTCAGCAACACGCTAGTTTGTCTAAACTCTTGCCACATAGATTAGGGAATCACATTATTATTGATGGATATACACAATGACTTCATTGGGGTCAGGAAGCAGTGACATTGTCATACACCATTGAGTTGGAGTCCATTAAAATTTAGGCCCAGGATCTGGGCATCACTGCCTAAGTCAGTATTTACAACTTAACACTAATCACCCTTGAGAAGGGGATGCCTTTTTCAATACAACTGAATGGCCTGTTGCAGGCAGAAGGTTTCAATCAACAATCATAGACCATCTGAGATAAGGATAGAAGACTCTTCCTAAAGGACACAAGCAGATTATCATTTACTTGGATATTTGTGGTAACGAAATGGAAAGACAACCCCGCCCCCCTCCCCCAATAATGGACTATAATAAAAAATACTGAAACAGTTCTGTAGAAATGTCACTGGACTCAACGTTAACTCTGATTTCTCTGCTCAGGTGTTGCCAGATCTGCTGAGTTTTTCTGGCAATTTCTGTTTTTGTCTGTGAAAGGAATATGTCGATCGTTTGTAGTGATGATGGGTTACGAAGAGTTAGCACAATCCATTTCAATTCTTGCAGACACAGCTCCATTAATGGGAGCAGCATGTCCCTTTGTTAGGCCCGAGCTCACGTTAGTTTCGTCTTGCTGAACGGATGCAGCAATGCAAGATGAAACTATTTCAAATGTAAGAGTAGTTTGCACCAGCTGGTGAATGTCATCCACTGAGATCGTACAGATGGTTGGTTTGAGAAGTGGAAGTGTCAGCTTATAAAAGGGGGTGCTTTGATGCAATGTGTGATGGACCGCTGCTTTAGAACAGCTTGATCTAGAGACTGGGTGTGCAGTACTGCATTCGTCTTGTGATAAATATGACAAAAAAGCACCTCCACAAGTGGAAGACCATTTCCATGAAAACTTTAAGCAAATATCAGATGGAGCTACTGACTAGTCAATGCTACTTTTTGTGTTCAAAAAACAATTATCCTGCTCGTTAAATCAAGTGCGGTGAAGTAATATAAAGCAGATCAAGATTGGTGAGAGTTCTTTTGAAGCAACTGATAGAATACCTGATTTGCTTAGATTATCTTTAATTTTAATGCTGTCTTTTCATTATAGATGAATTGGTTGAATGACTGTACTGGTGTTGATGGAAAAAGTAGCCTTCAATCTAAAGCATAAACCTGGAAGCTTTAGTGACTGTTGGATTTAGTTTCTAACCTGACTCATCTCTGTGATACTGTGTCGTCTTCTTGAGTTACCTATTGTTGCAGAGACTATCGTAAATTACATTTCAAGATTAAGTCCACTAATCGCTGCTTGCTAATTTCCAAAGCGTGTCTCATAGGTGCCTCATAATACCATCTTGAAAAATGTTGGCCCAACCCTGTCATTTGTTGACATTCAATTATCATAGATGTGTTAAATTTCTGAGTGAAATACGCTTCTTTTTATCATTTCTCATTTAACTTTTAGTTCCCCCCACCTCTTCCTCATTTTTATTTAGTGTTTTCCAACTCCTGTTCACACTCTTAAAACTACACATTGTTCCTTCTATCATTGCTCTACTATCAGGCTATTGTTATGTATAAAAGTGAGGTTCCCAGTTTGTTGCAGTCCTAGACAGGATTAAGCCCCCAGGTGAGGAGATATGAATTGACTTCCCCTTTTTTAGTCTTCTCAGTTTTTGGCAACGATATAACTTTAAAAATTTATCTCTACCCTAATGGATATCTTTCTCCCAGGTTCAAATGAACTTTTGTTTAAAAAGGGGACACTTTAACCTAACTTCATTGAGTGAATTTATTGCTAAATGTGAGAAGAACTTGTAATAAACGTAGACACATTAGAAATAAGAGGTAAATCCAAAAAGGCAAGAAGTTTTTTTTTCAGAAGAAATCCAGATATATGGATCAGTCTTTGATTTCACTGCTCATGAAGAGTAGTTAAATATTAGAGCTGTTGCAGTGAAGGTTACTGGTACCAAAGGTCTGTTTCAAGATTTTTATTTTTACAAGTTGCGTTGAGATTCTATTGCTCTGATTCCTTTTCAACATGATGAATTCCAGCATTTAGGTTGAAAGAATCCTTTTGTTGTTCAGTTTCCTTTGGTCTGGTTTTCTAGCTGGCATCCAGTATGCGGAGTGAGAGACTCCCCTTACCAGCTACACAAGGGATAATTTTTCTACTGTGATCTTCACTGTAGGATAATGCTTGAACGCAGGCGAGTACACTGGTGTACCATAAGACCCTCCGTTCTACAAGCACACTCCAGCAGAGTTGAAACTGGTTTATTAGTCTTGTGTATTCTTCAATCTGAAGAAGGGTCTAGGCCCGAAACGTCAGCCTTCCTGCTCTTCTGATGCTGCTTGGCCTGCTGTGTTCATCCAGCTCTACACCTTGTTATCTCAGACAAAGAATGCATCTGCTCCAGAGAATATAATCCACAGGGGGTGGCTTGTAGTTAAACAGGGGCTCATAAGCCCCTCATTACCTTTGTAGTCTCCAGACATCACAATCCAGTTTGTTTTGAGATCTCACAGTGTGGAGCTGGAGGAACACAGCAGACCAAGCAGCATCAGAGGAACAGGAAAGCTGACGTTTCGTGTTGGGACCCTTCTGTGTTCCTCCAGTTCCACATTTTGTTATCTCTGACTCCAATGTCTGCAGTTCTTGCTGCCCCAGTTTGTCTTGAGTTGTCTCTTCTTTTGAAAGACTGTTCTCACTTTTACATATGACATTCCACAGATCTCTCCACACAGCCCCTTACTTTACTGTACAACCATTGTTGGCTGTATCAGCCCTATTTTAAAGAAAGACACATTTTGCAATTACACATTCAAAATGCCCAGAGTACTTTGGAGTTTTGACACATGGTCATGACATTATTCAGATTTGTAAGCTTGCTGACGGTGTCTGATGATAACAACATCGTTTCCAGTGTGTAATTTGAAAAGTGCGTCTCGGACCATAGAATTAGAGTGATGGTATCTTGACATGCTTGGATTTGATCGATATCTCAACCATATGGTTTGAGATTGGCATGATTCCTTTCCAATAAAAATCCAGTGCAAGAGGTTAAACTAGGAAGTGACGAAATGGAATTTTGAGCCCTGCAACATTCAATAGACTCTATGTGTTTCAAGTAGAGGACTCAAAAAATGTTTAGAAAAACTCTTCTTTAAAACCAATGTATATCAGTTCAGCAGTGCCTATGTTCAATCTGCATGGGCCTTTATCCCACTGTTATATTTTGCTGGATCTAAAAATGGCATTGAGGCTCCATTTTGCATATTTAAAGGGCCTAACAGTTGTTGAAAGACATGTTTTAGAAATTGTACATTTCCAAATACATACTTTAGCTGGTGGGGTTCAGACCGGTGTATTAATTGAGATGGAATTTTGTGTAACATTTTAAAACTCACTAGACATATTGAGCATTCATTGCTCCATCCCTAATTGCCTTTGAGGATAATGGTAAGTCATATCCCTGAACACACCTGACTAACTTGCCAGGCCACTTCAGAGGACAGTTAAGTGTTACCCACATTTTCATGAGTTTGGACTCTCAGATTGTCCAGCCCAGGTAAAAATATCAGATTTCTTTTCAGTGAGCTAGATGAATATTTAAATGTTTCATGGTTACCATCACTGATAGTGGCTCCTTGTTGTAGATTGATTTGATTGCATTTAAATTCCTCAACTACTATAGCAAGATTTGATTATAAATTACAAATTGATTATAAAAGTACATTCTGAGGAAATGGGTTCGAATCTCACCATAGAAGATGGTGAAATTTGAATTCAATAAAGTCTGGAATAAAAAAGCTAGTCTAGCAGTGACCATGTAACCATTGATAGTTGTCATAAAAGCCCAGCTGGTTCACTAATGTCCTTTACAGAAGGAAATCTACCATCCTTACCTGGTCTGGCATACATGTGACTCGAGACCCACAGCAATGTGATTTATTCTTAACTGCCCTCTTGGCTATTAGGGGATGGGCAATAAATACTGGATTAGCCACATCCCATGAACATATCCAGTAGCACAGTGGTTCACTGGTTAACATTGTTGTCTCAGTGTCGGGGACCCATGTTCGATTCCAGCCTCAGGCGACTGTCTGGAGTTTGAACATTCTCCCCGTGTCTGTCAGAGTTTGGTCTGGTTTCCTCCCACAGTCCAAAAATATATGCAGTTTTGGTGGATTGGCCATACTAAATTGTCCA